AATCACCTATCATCGTGAAACGAAGCATCGTGGGTGAAGAGTAATCTTCTGAAAACGAGAGTTTAAAAGGGAGGAAGACGTTTCTTTTCGATCGGCGGCCTTCGTATAATTCATATTAGCCCCGTTTCGAGAGAGGTTCAGGGACTCGTTCTAGGTCGAACAGGAGGCCAGAACAGGACGCCATGATAAAGATTTTTATGGGCGGCGTAAATCTTGCAACGGGTGCAAGAAGTGAGCAGGAATCGTGAAAGCCAATTCCCTAATGGCTTTGATTTATCACCAACGGCTTGTTCCGGTAACTCATTATACCATGCAACTCGAAGACCTCACGCGATTGTCGAACATCGAGAAGCATCGGTTCTTCTTGTGTAACACGTCGAGTAGTCGTGTTTCGTGCGCCTTCTCTCTGCGCCGAATCTTATTTTTTTTTTTTTTTCACGCTTCTAGGTTAAGGATGTATAGGATTTTTTTTATTTTTTATGTTGTTTTTCTTACTTAATTTTAAAAGTTTACGAGAAATTTTAATGATTAGATATAGTAGTGAAGCTTGTACCAAGCTTTTTATGTCCATTGAATGATCATGTTTCGTAAGATTCTTCCGCCAAATTATATTTTTTCATTAGTCGTTGGATTATTGCCTGTTATCTTTTTATACAAGGCAATAAGTCAATGCTGAAGTTTATGACAAATTTTAGTGATCCGATGACAGTAATATAATTAAATGCCTTTTACGTTATTACGTAGAAATCGTATGATCAAATTTCGTCACATTTCTGGTGCGTTCACTTTTTTTTAAAAAAGTGCTTGATTAATCTTAAGATTTACGACAAATTTTGCTACGATTTTTTGTAAAACTAACTATTAAATATATCTCGATATCCTAATTTTTCTCTCTAACTTCTTAAATCTTTACTCTTAGAAAGCTAGCTGCACAGTTTCGTCCCAATTTCTGAATTATCCTATACAACGTTGATAGCCATTTCAAACGTGTGTTAAATCTATTAACTAAGTACAAAACTATGGTGTGATTCGTTCGAGGAGAAAGAGCCGAGTGACGAGCCTTTTGAAACAGTTAGATCCCTGCAATCAAATAAAACCGGTGACAAATTGACACGTGCGATAAAAAGAATTTTCTCAGAGAGAAAGCAGCAGTTGTTACTACGAGCATAGACGATCAAACAGACATGATTATTTCCACGCCACGTTCCGGTCAAAATAAACATTTTATTACTATTTACTTTCCATAATAAATTGACCAAGAAACGCTTCTCTTTCTCTCTCTCTCTTTCCCTCTCTCTTCTTCTTATATTCAATCTTTATAACCTGTTACTGTTCGTTTCTTTATTGATAATCAATTTAACGACCTAACTAAAAGCTTTTACAAAAGGATATATAGTGAACTGGAAAGACTTATACGTTCTTTAAGATCAATAAAATTGATTCTTTCAAACATTGAAGAAATGTGACACTTGAATGACGATCGTATTCAATGGAAACATCCTTGAATTGTTTAAAAGCTAGGTTATATATACGAAACAATTCGTTCACGTTATAATTAATGCAAACATCCTAACAGGAAAGTCTTTAATCGCTACATATTAAGCGTGAAAAAATTGATATTAAACAAATTAAATGTTTGTATACATTGTGCAATTAATGTGTATTTATAGAAAATTTATGTACATAATACATAAAACAATGTAGTATAAAACAATATTGTAATTATATCTTCTTTCTTTATATTAGAGTTAACGAATAAGTAAAGTTTATTTTTGACCAAGTATGTGAGATAAGCGCCATTATTTATTATATTATTCAAGTTGATCTAAATACCGTTGATCTAAATAATTATCTTATTCCATTTCACGTTTAAAATATAAATTTTTGCAAAGTTATATCATACAATATGTAATTTAATATTTGAATTAAAATATTTCTTTTCAAATATAATGTAATCTAATTTTTCTAATTTCTCTTACTTATTTTTATTGAATTACATAATTTCAATGACGAAAAATAATAAATAATATTATTTATTACCAATCAATTGCTATTATTTCATGATAACTAGCTACCCAACATAACATACAATAAATATTTAATACCATTGTTTTTATACTTATAAAATAACTTGAATCCAATTAAATACGAATATGAAACACAATTGGATCATGGAATGTACTGATGTAAATATAAATATAATATAATCATCATCTAACAATTTTATTTTGGAATATAAATCTGCCATGAGATGAGAGAAAAAAAATGAAAAATATGCATCGGAGAAGATGTTATCTTCAAAAGAGATTTTTAAGGAGAATAGCTTTCATTGTGAAAATCCGCACTAATGGACAGGACTAGACTAATAATCCGTCACTAAGCCAGCTAACATGTTATTAAGTGGGCGTCCACGCACCTCGAGGATTTTCTACACCGATGACATCGCCATTGAAACGAAATGCAATCAAAAGATTCGCGTAAATCTGCCAAAATATTACTTTCTCGTGTTCTTGATCAACATCGATGGATTAATTATTAAAATTAATACTTAAGGTAATTATTATTATCACTATTTACGTATAAATTATCGAGAGTTGCATGCTCATAAATTACGTCGATGCTCATAATTCGATGATAATGATAATTGATCGTAATTCAAAGTAAATGGACGATTTAATCAATTTTATAAGCAAAATAATCGAATCTGTCTATTTATAAAAACATTTTCATTATACCTTATCCGTTATGATAAATAATTGGAGATACGATTTTGAACATCGTCGAGATTTTGCTTTTCCATGATTTAGAAATCAATTTCATGATTTTATGACGTTAATTTAAATCCATATGCACGAACGATACGTTTTATGGGAATCTCATTATACGTGATAAAAAGATCAATTTATGAATATTTAAGTGTATGTTGAATATTTAACGGCTGTATAACACTAATAATCAGTTTCTCCACCATATGGTATAAAGAGTATGTGTACTACGTATATCCAAGATCGCTACGACAAAATTTCGAACCTCACTCGTGGAGCATACAACGAGTGAAAGATAAAAGCTCTCTTCTCTGGAAAATTTCGTAACATACAAGGAATTCACGTCTCATAGCAAACGGTACTTCACACGGAACGGCAAAACGGAATTCGTCGTCACAGACGGATAGGAAAGCGCAAAATGTCCCGGCTACATTGCCGTATCTATTTTCATCCTACATGTTTTAGATGCTCCACTATTGAATCCGACAGGCGAAACGAGTTGCGCATCGACTTGATGGCAGAAGAACAGACCACCAGAACATACGAACCGAGAGGATTGATGTTACATGATGTTGTTGGACAACGTGAGGTATTTGCTGTGTTTTTATTTTTCTTTTTTTTTTTTTTTTTTCTACAAGATCTTGTTAAGATTTTATCTTTCTTGATAAACTTTATGTAGAGCAGATTAGTTTATCTTGTTTCATTTGTTTATTTTATTGTTTCGTGAATCTGTTATGATATATAGATTTAATTAAAGAATAATTTAATCTTTTTTAGAATCAAAATTTTTAAAGAAGAAACAATTATTTTTAATTAATTATTGATAATGAAAGAGTATTTTTTTTGTAATATTATTTATTGCTTAGTTATTTAATAAATAATTAAAGTACTATATTGCATATAAGTAATATTAAATGATTAAAGAGTTAATACTTTAAAATGTAAAATTCACACGAAATTAATTGTTAATGAGAATGTTTCATACCACGATAAAAATAAGAAGATAATTTTTCAAGAAATAATTCGATAAAATATATAATCAATTATCTTTTCTTCGAATTTTTTTTTAAAATAACAAAAAATTAAATTAGACAATTTGATCATATAGGTTAAGTATAATAAGATAATATTATTTATAATAAATTTCGAAATTCTTTAAATATATTTTAATTAAATTATTATGCATTATTATTAAAGATTTTTATTAAAAATTCGGCTATTCAGATAATTTTATACAGAATTGAAAAAAGAAAGAATGTATAATTGAATGATTTACTATAATAAATCGAGACAAGAAAATTATAGAGAAAATTTCTGCACTTACCGTACAATCTAACAGACAGGTTATGTTGCAAAGATTTTATCTTGAATTATGTGTCTCTACTTTATTGATTTCATTGCTAACTAACGGTCATAATTAATTTGATATATGATCTCCATAAATGCAAAAACTTAACCAATCAAACTTTAAAAATTGTCTCCGATAAATTTCTTCTTAAACAGCAACCATTCCATTTAAAATCAAACTTAATCGATGAATCATTCAATATTATCGATCAATCATATTTTATACGCACAATTTTAAAATTAATCCAATAAATGAACCAAAACGCAAAAACATAACTAGTCAAGCTTAAATTTAAAAATTATCTGCGACAAATTTTCGCTAAATTTCAAATAGCATTTCGATCAAATCACAACAAAACCATACGAAATCACATCAATCAATGAAATACCACTTAATCGACAAATTATTCAATATTATTGATCAATCATATTTTGTATTGCATAATTCCAAAGTTTTATTTAATCCAATAAATGAATCAACTTTATAAATGCAAAAATCTAACCTTAAAAATCAGCACTGAAAAATCTTGCCAAAAGTTAATCATTTTCGATTAAATCACACTCAAATATCGTTTTATCGACAAACCATCGATGTTAAACTCGAATCACTTCTCATTGATTAGTCATTAATGTTAACTATCCACTATAAATATTTCTTCCGAATAAAACCAAAATTATCGTAAAAAAAACGTATCAAGATAACTCGAACGAGGGTGCTCGAATGTCGTATAAAATAATTTACAGTTCGTCTATGCAAAGTACAACCACCAGTAAAGTGTGTGAAATGCACGTCGATACGCGGCGTCTTGCTTGACCAACGATGCAAGACGAGTCGATAGGCTTATCGATTAGTCGACGCGGTCCATCGCGAGACGTCAGTATCGAACAGCGGCGATTCCTGTCCGATATCTAGTCGATATCTAGTCGATTTCCAGCCAATTCATGGTAGTTGGATGATTCAGGGGAACGTTGACTGTGAGCTCGCCCCTGGCGCCGTGGCCTGTTTAATTTTAGGGTATTACGCGTGCAGGCGGCAGCCTGGTCGAGGCTAAAGGGTACCTCTGCCTCGGTATTTGCCAAGATATTATCGTGAAAAAGGGAAAGGAGAGAAGCAGTGGGTAACGAGGAGGGCGTGTCCGTTGGCTCGAGACGAGCCTCTAGGATGCATCCGACACTGTTTCGCGAATTAGCCCCGTCTCGAATCATCGTGGCCCATCGGGGAAATCGTCGTGACTCGGGGTTGCTAAGCAATACGTCGAATGGGTATCCTGTTCTTTGGAATTGTGCGAATCGGTTCAATGCCTTTGCCAATGATGGTTCTCTGAACCAGTGTTTCTCAACTTGTGGATCGTGATTCTTAAAAAGATCAGGTGAAGAATTTTGGAAAGATTATTATTTGTATTGAAAATTATATTGAAAAGTATGGAAATATAATGAATAGAAGAAATTTGTGAAAATAATAAAATATTTTGAGATTCGAGAATTCAATATTCAGTTTTTCGTTTTTTAAATATATATTGAAAAAATATGTTTGATAATATTTCTAGGTTAAATGTATTACTTTCGTATAGTATTTTATAAGTTACAGGATAAATTGAGGCACAAGTTAAATAGAAATGTAAAATATATGTGGTGATAAAATACAGAAATAGGTTTTGTAAATAGAAGAGAAATTTTAAACGAAATACATGCATAAAATATGCAAGATGACAGAGAAAGTGCAGCTATCCTGATGAAAAATCAACTTCAGATAGAAAAGGAACAAAAGTGAGAACTTGTAAATTTTACATTTTTTTTAAATCTTATCCATAAAAAATTTATTACATATTTCTCACTTAATTTTTTCTAAACTTATTGCTTATTTTTGTGAATATTAATATGTGTAATTTGTAAACATTAATAAATACTTTAATACGAATAAATAACAAATAAATAAATAAAAATAATTTTATATTGAAAATTTTTCTAAAGTAAAAAATAAATATTAATTTTCGTATTAATTTTCACTTATTTTTACATAAACGATATTACATTTTAATAATAAAAAAAAATAATTTTACGTTTCAGATTTCTTCAAATTAAAAAAAAAAAACGTTAAAATAATTGCGTATATACTACAACTAAAACAAAACAGAAATCATACCTGAGTTATCGAGGCGCTGATTTTTTATCTACGGATGAAATCATATAATACGATTATGATATTTGTATACATTTCTTTCTTGCTGCAAGCGATTGATATTCGCCAATGTAATGGAACCTTCTATTCGAATTGATCATTTCTGATTTTAATTCATAACTTCAAAAGAAAAAAGAAGCTAATGTTTTTTCTTTTGCAAAAATCCATATATAATAATTTTCATTATGATTGCATATCTACATTTTTTAAATATAATTGATAATAATTATATCGCCTAGATCATTATTTATTTGTTGTATTTGCTATAAAAAAATATTTAATTCAATTTTTCTTATCTAAACTTTAAATGATAGTAGCTATAAAGTTTTTCAATAATTTAAATAATAAATAATTTTAAGATTGATCTATAATCAATCTATCTATTATTAAAACTTTATTTATTCTTAGAATTATTTTAGATTTCTATTTATTTAAAGTAGTTTTGATTTAGAAAATGTAAAATTGCAATATGACATAGATTTTAAATTAAAATTTTAAATTACATGGTTACACTATTTAAATGTTATATATTCTATCCAATTAAAATTAATATTAAAAATTAATTTTTTTTCAAATTTTTTGTTTTTGTATAATATTTAAACAAATATTATTATAGATCAATTTTAATATTAAACTAGATATATAGAATTAAAAAAAAGTTAATAAAAATTCGATTATCAAAGAATCAATTTTATTAGTTTTGAAAGTAAAGAAACGTGATGAAATTAAATTTTTATTATCTTAATTTATGAATTAATGCCATTTATCTAACATTCACAAATTCATGTTTATAAACAAGCAACTTTATTGATAGACAATTGTATTTGATTAGATATAAATCTAATCAGATAATCACTATAAATAATATTTGTAAAAAGATCCTAAAAATACAATATCTTAATATACAAAAACCTTTTCAGCATTTCTATAGATCAATCTCTCGAAGTAAAAAGAACAAGCAACCTATAAGGAATATTGACAGAAATGATTATTGGCAAATAACCGGAGGTATAATTATATATCAGAGGATGTACATATACTATGAAACGTCGCACCGCTGAAAGTTCGGTATATTTAACAGTGGCCGCACGTATGAGATATAAGTTTGATATCGCAGTTGCGTGCAGAATCACCGAATTATATCGACTTGCAGCGATCGAAGTGTGAAGCGTGCCGACGATCGTGCATTGAATATATAATCGATTTTTTGTGAGCCTTGAGAAACGACTATCCTTTAAAAATTCAACGAGTTTATTCGATTGTAAGTTGTAAAAAGGATAAAATATTGTTAAATTTTTTGTATTTTAATTATTAATAATTTATTTTTATTTTTATAGATATTTATTCTATCTATTCGTTTAGATATTTAAAACTCGAATTAAATGAAAATTAGATATATATAGTGTATGAATGTATGCTGAATAATTACAAGTATAAAACAAGTTTAACAAAAAAAGAAAAAAATAAAAAATTAGAATAATGATATCATTTATTTACAAATTGCATGGATAGTTAATGTATTATTTCTCAACATCTATGTTTATCGTATGTTTGTATATTAATATATTCTATAATTATATAATATATTCAAGATATTATTCAAGAAAACATTAATAGCTTAATTACATTAGCCTATACATTTAATAAAAATAGAAAAGTTCCATTATAAAGAATCAGATTATATCATTGAAAATGTAAAAATGAATTGTCTGGAACAAAAAAATTGCATATAAAGATCTAATCTTCAGAACTCAAATAATTAATCTTTAAACATAGAATATAGATGTTTTAAGTCTAAAAATGATTCATATTTCAAAAATCTGTAAAAACTTTTATAGTTTCCCGAAATTTTTTGAAACCTTTCTTTATATTTTAAATATAAATGAATTAAATAATTTAACTTGTTCATTTTTAAACGAATCAAACGTTTACATAGTTTAAGCATGTTTAAAAATTAACAAACGAATTGAAATACAGTCAAACCTGACAAGGTATCCTTTATTCTAATCGTAAATTTTACAAGATTAGTCATGCTTGCACGTTCAGTAATGGTCCATTGATAAAAATTCGATATAAATGCAAGTGTAATTACGTAAGAAGAATGATCTATTATCTTTCTGTTACTATGAACAGTTGTTAAATTTAACAAAAATCATAATCTGCCTCTATAAATCCAGTCGGCTTAGTTCTTAAGAACTTTATCTTGAAAGAGTGAACGAATGGAAGGAACTACATGTTTTAATCGAAGTCTAAGTCTGATGTAAGTACTAGCTAAAAGTCTCTCGTTCTTTGCTTTATATCGGTGTTAAATCTTTCTTGAGATAACACTGTTCTACCAGTTTCTACGTTCCTTCTCAAGAAGAAAATTTACAAGTGGCAAGTAAATTCTAGGGTAGATGTTTCCTTAAAACATGCTTAAACTATTCTTAGAACAAGAGCACGGATAATTGAAGCGGATGCAATCGCGAGAACTGAGTGCCAAAACGAGTCTTAAACGAGTTCGAAAGATAAAGACTCCATAATGCTTGGCAAGATGAATCGTACCATATATGAAGTGTGAAACCTCGAACGTTCGTCACATTTTATAGCTCATTTTGTTACTCTTTATTATTCATTGACATTTCCTTGTTGACTTTTAAATCCAAGACTAGTTGTCTTATTAGAAATATGTAACAGAAAAATATAAATATCACGTCAAATATATTTAATTTTTTTTTAATGATTGATCTTTCATTAGAGATAGAATGTTATAAATCTTAGGATTTTGAAATCTTTCATAAAGTTTTCAAGTTTTTTGAAATTTTTTGTTATTTTTATTTTGTAATTAAAAATCTGTGTAAAAAAATATCAAATTTATATAAATAATATATGAAGATATTGCAATGAAGTTATTCAAATGAGTTTGTAAAAAGATTTTAAACTGATTTTAATAATTCTTTAAAGTTTCGAAACTTTATAAGGTTTTGGATTTTCAAATTCAATCAGTCTTTGCTTTTTATTAATTTCTATATTATATATAAAAATATATATAATATTTTATTTTTTAAATAGAATAATATTCCATAATATAGTGAAATTAATTTTGTATACATATTTCTGTAATTTGAAATTCATACATAACATATAAATTAATACAATAAAATAAATTTAAAATATAAACTATATTTTTATTTAGAAATTCTATTTTTATTTATACTCAAAAAAGAATTGTATTCCCTTAATTTAATTTATCACATACAATACACACCTACAACAAAAAATCTGAATTGAAAGATTATTTTTAAGAGATTAAAATGGATACAATATTTCTTGCAGATAAAAATTCCGAGATCTAAATTAAGTTTCTTCCTTTTAATAATTTTCAAACATAATTGTACATGCGGGCTTAAAGCCACACTTTTAAATCTGACATATGTTTTTAAAACGTTTTCGCGAAACGAAAATAATATTCTGAAAAAACCAAGGCGGTGTTAATATCTGCGGAATTAAAAGGAATCCGGTAATTCGCGTGACTCTGCGTTAAAATTTTTTTCCTGCTATTTTTAGAGCGGCGCCCTGTGTAGTGCGACCAGTATCTCCGCGCCTGGTGCATCGAACCTCGCGATCGGTTCCAAGATTGAGATAAGCAGCTTGCGAAGAAATAAGTAGTTTAAGCCTGTTCGCGTGGCCGGAGATTGGTCTGACGTCGTCATGGAACCGAGAAGTGGGGATGTTTTATGCATGGACCCTGCGTTATGCATCATTCCAGGTGCATCTCGAACAGAACCCGTCGAACTCTGGCTCCGTGCAAAGGATATGTTGTTACGTTCGATCGATGAAGTGTGTTTCCAATAGTAAAATATTGATTACATCCAATTGAAGAGGTGGCCACAAAATTACGATGATTTGTCAAATACTTTCAATTTTGGATTCGTAAATGCATCAAATGATAAATCGTGTAATTACTTTGATGGAGTGTTAAATATAAAAATATATTTATCTCGGATGATTCCTGAAAATATACAAAAAATTAATAGTGTTGTGCAAAAATTTTGAAATAAATCGTGATTGAATAATAAATAAACATATTATCTTTAAATCCGCATACAATAGCCTTACAAAGATTATAGGACAGCAGGTTGAAGAGCAAGTTCATTCACTATTGAAACGAAGCGCACAAGCAACTCTTCTATAATATAGGAATTGGTTGCGTGATGGTCGATCTTCGGCAACGGGGATGTTGGATAGAAGCATGTTGGTGGGGAAACGTTTCAGGGAGAGTGGGGGCGTGCGTTACGCAGGATTTAGGGTTCTACGTGGTGGTGAGGAGCCACGACAGCACGGTACTCGTGCCGTGGTGGAGAAGCAACCGACAGCAGCACCAGAGTACACGGTTTCGCCGTTGCGGAGAAGCCTCGCTGCTCTCGGACAGAGCAGTCTGCAGCGATCATCGGCTCTCACGGTGTTCCGTATGGCCATGCGTCGTTCCAACTTTTCTGACACTACGTCAAAATTTATCATCGACCCTGCGCAAAATTTCATCGCCTGCAACATAATCGAGGACATTTTGAAACCGAGATTCGAAGTATATCATCGAAAAAATACTGGAGAACGGGATTCCGCTTCCAGACTAGAAATTGTCGTTCGACGATTAAGAGACATTTTTATCGGAAAATTGATCACTTTTGATATACGCGGTGATGAGAAGATAGAAAAAGATACGATTAATGAAATCATAACGAACTCTGCGTTATTCATTGATGCTTGCTTGAAATTCTTCAACGAGAGAAACATAACCTTATTCAATAGCGACAAACTTTCGCGAAAGTGGCGTATAAAAAACAAACTTACCATCGTTCTCGATTGGAATATCGAGAAAATTTTTTTCGATAATATCGTTTTATCCAAAAAGTGTCAACATAAAGAGGACGATATTGGTGAAATTATAAACGATTTGAAGTTCTCGAGCGGTGTCGTTAAACCGAAGCGAGATATTCTTAGTAACGAAGTCGCACATTTCATCGAAAGAAAAAGCAAAGATACCATATTTATCGAAAACATTGAACACATTGTAGCTATTGACGTTCTCTTCATTGTTTATATTAGCGGCTTCATAGCGACCGGTGTGCACATTGCAACCGCATACGCACCCCGAACTTGCCACGTTTCGCATGCGGGAGGACCAACTCGCACGTACGGTCCACCTATCGCTCCACAACTCGACGATCGAGTCAGTGTTACTCTTGATTTCCACGCGAGCGCCGGTCCCGGCTTACCGGGGACGATACCAACGTTCTGCTTCACTCATTTTCGACGATTCTCGGCATTTCTGTCGTTTCGCGTTCGGACCTTTCGAGCCGACTATCGACAAATTGATCGAAGTGAATTTTCCTTAAAATCGACGCGTAATCGATACGAGTTGCCAACTTTACAGTGGAACGTTCGCGTCGTGTGAACGAACATTGAGAAAATGTTTAGTGTCATAAATTTATGGAGTTTTTTTTTCGATAATTATATATTCATATCGGAAAAATATTCTGAAAAATTTCGAAAACATCTATTGTAATCATTCAAATTTATTCAGTGAATATATTAAAAATAGTAATCTTTAAATCGAATTGCATGTAAATAGACGATAAAAATTGAACGAAGTGTTGAGTTTCAAAGTGATCAAGTGAATTTGGTGACACGGTTATTCGTCAAAGAAAAATAAATTTTTTATAAATGACATTTTAGAAGAACTTTGTCGTTGAACTAGATTAAAGTGTTCGCTTCTTATTAAACCACAAATCATCTAATGACATACACGAGATAAACCGTTATCTAAGTATGTGTACTGCGATTTGTATCGATTCGATAAATGTAATTCTTTCGTTATTTTCATGTCTGAGAAGAAATTAAATTATCCGTGAGTTTTATATTTCTTCACGTTTCTTATCAAAGATATATGTCGTTTCAAACAATTATCTATGTTGTTTTCCATGAGAAGTATCGAACGCGTCCGTGAATTGAAATCAGTGTTCGTTTCGTATGCATTCGTGTTAATGTGATGTAGCTGGTGCGAAAATCATGAAATGAAAAAAACATTTGGAATGGTTACGTAGATAATCAACGATTGTCATTATGCATTGAACCGACGAATAGTGATTTCTCATAGAAGAAAGTGAAAATATTACGTGGCGCCAGTATTAATTTCTTTTGATATATGGTGCAGTGTCGATACCGTCGTAATTATTCATAGCAATCTTAGCGAGGAATCGATATACGTTGCATAACAATCAGAAATTACCACTCTTAATATAAACATGCGTAACATTGGAATTGTCTGAATTTGAACATATGATATGCAATATATCCGTCAAAGAATAATAAAAGAATAATAAACAAGAAAAATCAATTGATAAATTCTAGAATTTATCGAAAGGCGGGTATTTATATTGGATGGATACAAAAAGAAAAACACAACTGATTTTACAAGAAAATTCAAGGAACTTCTCGAGATGGATCAAAATATAAACAAAAGTTTCGAATCGATGGATGACAAACATTCTACGTAATCTCTTCGTACCGGCCATCATCCCCTCGCACACCGTCCAAATGATTCGTCCCAGTCGTCGTCTTAGACGCGTAGAATAATCGTTATTATCAGGAACGGTCGACAGCGACGAGATAACGCGGTCGAGAAACCAACCGAGCAGATCAGATTGCGATCGATCTCGAGAAACGAAAATTATAGGAGATCCGAAGCACCTTCTGCCGGTAATTCTATTACCGCTGGAAGGCAAATTTCGAGCCGTATAGGATCGGAAGGAAGTAACGTATAGTCCTCGTCGTTAGCATCTCGGAACGTCATATATCTTGGCAGTAATGCGCACAAATTATGCGTCTCGTGCCTCCACGGAGCAACGGCCACTAAGAAACGAGCAACAGTTGCACGTTTACGTTTACACTTGCGGATAATCTAGCATCCATCGATTCCTTTGCCTTTCTTACTTCCCGTTTATTCTTTTTACGCTTTTTTCGGCCATGTTTCGCCATGTTTCCTGAAATTCGTACTCTGTTTCGATATTAACGCTTTTGTGGAACACGAAATACATTCTTTATCTACGTGACGTGTTGTGTTTTGATGCCGTCCTTGCAGCCAAACAAAAGGTGCACGCACATGTGATTGGTGTTCCTAACATTTTCGTTGTTCGAAGAAGTCTGTTTCGTGATCGTCGTTATTTGGCAAGTTTGCACGCCATAGTGACAACGAAATTAGAAAGTGGATTATCAATTTTTATTAATGGAAACATTTTTGCATAAAAAGTAATCAGTTTGAGTATTTATCGAAGTTTTTACAATTAACATGTGATGATACTTTAAGAAAAACAATTGAGATATTAGAAGAAAGTGAAAACATACGATCGAATGTTTTTGAAACAATTAAAAGATCGAGAAGTTAGTGAGAATTTCAAATGCAGTAACGATTCTGTTTAAAAACTTCGAATTTAAAATTATAGTAAAATGGAAAAGTGAATAAGGGTATTCTAAATTGAAGAAATCATAACATTGTAAAGTGAAACATTCAGATAAAGATGAGATTATTTTAACTGACGAGTATCGAAGGAAGGAAGTATCGAAGGAATTCTTGTGACACTGTCACACAGCTGTTAGTGAAAATAGGAAACATAGAATATACCGTTATGTAGTATTCTAGCAAGCAATCATTCGTTTACCTGGATCTCGAAAGTGAACAGGCACGTGTGGAAAGTGCAATTATTTCGGATTTCGAAGATTATAAGTGCGCATATCAGTTTGACCCTGAATATTCTTAAATATTATGAAATCGACTACGTCCAAACCATATCAGTATCAAATATATCTCTCTAATTGCGTCAATTATATTTTATATTTTTCACACGATATTTCTCACGATAACAATTGAATTGAGATAAAATGAAATATATATAAATAAAACGTGGATCACTAGTGAAATTGTTAGAGAGAAGCATAATTTTGATTCGTCTTTAAAAATTATCGTCGCCGAGAAAAAACCTCCACGTGCATATCAGGATAACATCTGTAGCTTTGAGTGATGACATTTACGAATGGTATCTACAGAATTTTATGCGACATTCGGTTTGGTGAGTACTCTAAAATACATTTTCAAATGCGTATTATATTTTCGAATTTGGAAAATATATTCGAGATTTTTTTTATTCCGTTGTGTGATAATGTTTTAAATTGAATTATAAATATAGATCAATAAATAGATAATGTTTCGATATTAAAAAAAATTATATTTTAAATTAGAATTATATTTTACTGATTTGCATAAATATGCAAATTTATATATAGATGTTAAATCGTACTAGATGTTAAATGTAAAATGAAATTGATCGAATATTATTAAAATTATAATTTATTTATTTATTATAAATTAAACATATAATTTACAGAATATTTACATAAAAATTTATTCAATGATTTTAATTAAAAACATTTAATTAAATATCTCATTTTTAAATATTCATGAACATATAAAGTGCACAAATATTCAAATCCATTTCTTTGTTCTTTTATAATAATCGTATATTTTTTAATGGATAAAATACATTATTTTTCTTATCGAAAATTAAGCAATCATTTAAATTAATGCAATTCATGTCAAAAATAATAGATTATAAAAACAAAAAGTCGATTATTATCGAAATCTCAATATCGAAACATTTTAATTCGAAATTTTATTATTGAAATTAGTTATTATTTCACAATTAATTGCAAATTATGTCTTAAAAAGGCATAAAAAAAAATAAAAAGAATTTAATAATATAAAGATATTTAATAAAAATTTTGGATACGATGCGAATACATGCATCCGTTCGTTGATTCTATTCAAATTTCGGCGAATCTGTTCCGTATTGTTTCACGACATAATGCATTTCATAACATAATGAATTTCGTGGAATTCGTGCAATTGTAAGAATCTTTATACTTTAGAAACATATTATAATGTACCATAATTAGAACACAATGTACTTTTAACCATTATTTCGTCGCGACTCTAATGACTCAGCAGTTAGACTTCCTGTTAGCGCCAATGAAATTTTCAATGATTTATTATCAACTGAAAAATAAAGATTTTTGTTATTAAAAATTTTTAATTAGATATTTTTTTCAGTACCGAAACAGTAATAAAATTTTTTTATAAGATTTTAATGTATTTTTCATAAAAAAATACATTAAGTTTAATAATATATTTGAAATAATTTCAAAATTCATCTATAATTCAATTTTTATACAAATTTAGATCAATCAATATTTGTCTTAAAATATTTTTCTTAACAAGCAATTCAATTTATGTTATAGCAAAGAATAGTTTCCCACTTTTTTTCGGAATAAATTCTCTGTCGGAATCTCATGTTTTCTATGATTATTTATCAAGATAAGTGCCCTTTTACGAAACAAACATTCACGCGATTCTTTGTTGATTAACCATTACTCTACTTATGATATCGCCGCGCAATGAAATTACCATGAATTAACATATACGATAAGAATGACGTTGGCAGTCTACTTCAAATATATCCAAAAGATATTCAATCGTTATTATTGCGAAATTGTAATGGTCGCGTGGGATACTTTGATTTAAATTCATATGCCGACAAATTAAATATTTGTCTTAAGATATATATAGGAACAAAAATTTTTGAGTAAAATATATTCAACAACATTTTGAAAAAAATGAAAATAATTCCGAAACGATGTTTTTAGAACATTTTAATTTTATTATCGCGCATATTCGACACAGATAAGACTAACCATCCGTAAAATGATTTTAATCAATACAGTATTTATATATTCTCAAATCATCGTTTGAACTGAAAATTCAATTCAATAAAATCAGATATAATTTCTGTGCCAACTTTTAAATTAACAACGATTTTTTACCGTTCAATATTTTAATATTATTAATTTCGTAGTTCAATATAAATTTAATAATTCACATTTATACGATGATAATTTCAAATCTTCGTTCGAACATTATAATACTTGAAATTTAATCACGCGTCGCATAATCGACAGTGTTAATGCAATATTTTCGATAATTCGTACCTCTATAACTCGAAAATCTCGACGACAGTTAGATGCATTTCATCTCGAATTCAGAGAAGCTGAACCCAAAAATTAAAAATCTATAAATTTACCATAAAATATGTAATTAATTATATATTAACTACTCGATCATTCGGTATTCTTTCTTTCATCTGTTACAATTATTCATTTATCAAAAGTTTCGAATTACATTCAAAGATGAAGACTCGAGTCTTCGTAATCTTCGAAACTTGGCCCACACACAGGGAAAACAGGAATATCGGAGGAAGGAAACGGTGCACGTGCGAGGCTACGTTCGCGCGCGTTTTCGGGATAATGATCGTTCTTTAATATCGGAAGAAGGAACAATAAATTGAGGCGCGTACCGAGGAATGGAGTATCGTAAATGGGAGATAGAAGGAACGAGAGTGTAAATCGTAGTCTTACCGTTTCACCGAGACACGCCCCGTTAACTCGTGGGTTAAACATTAAACCACGCCCATTTTTGGGGTGAGCAGCCAGATTTTTGTCTCTCCTTTTACCGGCCCGTCTCTTCCCTTTTTCTCCCGCGTCTTTGCCTCGTCCACGCGACAGAGATGGAGAATAGGTACGTGCACGACCTCTCCTCTCGATTTTCGATCGGGTTAAGCAAACAGCGACTGGTTCTCACCTTTATCGCGATAATAGCTGTAATTTCGGCGGGTCCTCGTCGATGTGAGACATGGTATGTACGAGCAAGTGTTCAGATTGCAGACGCGTCGTTGGTTGATTGCATGGCGCGGCTTCTTCGCGCGACCGCGATTTATTACGGAAACTCGTCCCACTTGTGCTGCTCCTCGATCGACACCGGCTCCTTCTCCTCCGCTACGGTCCCCTTCGTGAATTTGCTTTGTGATTGCCAAGGATTGGAAGAAGCAATTTTTTCGCTCGTGTAATCCTCTTTTCGTTCGCTTGATGGACTGGGGGTACTACAGAGTGAATACGAAAAAAAAAAAAAAAGAACGGACGGTGTAATTTAGGAGGTGTAGTAATTATCGAAGTATAAAAAAAAAAAAAAGAAAAATAAAAAAGATGTCTTATTAATATAGGATTCGTGAATTAACTGTTATCGAACAGTTTGTTTGCTTGACGTTTAGTATTAAAAATTGAAAGATTGGAATATTTTGGAAGGATGTAGAGTAAAATAAATACCTTATTAACATAGATTTATAAATCAACCCTTATCGGATCTCGACGGTTTTTAATTGTCGTTTAAAATTTAAATTCGTTATATAAAAATTTTTATCTCTACATAGCTATAAAATTTCATATTGTGTTAATTTATTGAAATTTATGAAAACTGTGAAAGATGTAACTAACTGAGTTTATTTGTTGAAGTATTCGTGTAATTTAACATATTCTGATCGATGTCAACACGTCAGCGGCCATCACATTCGGGTAGAAAGTCAAATGAATATTAAAATATTTTATGGTTCGTATTGTTAATTCGATTTCGATAGTGATTCTTAATGAATTGCCAAATGATCCTCCGCCATGTTCTTTCCAAGGTTTCGCTTATTTTTCATTCACATTTTTATCCAAGAAAGCTTGTAATCTTGGATATTAAATCGATGTTACATGATTTTAATATTTTTTAAACCACAGTTCCAAAATACTTATCAACTTTCCACGTGTCAACGCATAATTTGACTTTCTGAGATTGACGTCACTTAACAAATTGAAAAACGAAAAAATTCTGTAAATTCTTCCCCTATACATATTACCGTGGCGACGAGCAGTCGCGAAAGTCGTCCGAGATTTAGCTTAATTAATCGATTATGTCCAGAGCAAATTGATGCCGTCTCTTATTAATCCACGGGGCCGTAATTTTATTAGAAACTTTATAGATACAAGGGGCCTGTTACCTGAACGAGCCACTCGGTTCACCCTACACGAGTATATCCACCTCGACGTGCTTTCGTCGTTTTGTTCGTTCGATGTTTGCGCCGCGATCCTTGCCAGAGACAAGCGTGTATACGCGAGAGTACCCGGGGGTTCAATGAAGTGCACATCCGACAAGCGTGCGTCTAGACGTTGAGGTTCGGTGAGTAATGCTAATGTGGAAAACGCGATAATCGATGGGTTTATGCTCGAAAAAAAAAAAGAAAAGAAAAAAAGAACGTTTTTTGACGTTGAAGTGGTTTGAAATAAAGAAACGGCGTGTCCCTGAAAATAGCGTATGGAATTTTTATACGATGCATCTAACTCAAGAAATTTTATCGATCCCTTTGATCGATAAACGATATCGTATTTTAGCTTTCGATAAGTTGCAATTCTGCTTCTTTTTTTTTTTCGTTAATATGTGTTATTTTTCTTTGCCAGTTATCGTTGTCCAGTAAAATTGTTTCTAAAATGTCTACGAAGAATGCGAAATTTTCTTTTATTTTAAATATGTGAAATATTTTAAAAAATGAAAAGAGATTAGATTAAGACGTTTAAAATAACAAAGGCAGAATTACATTTGTGGGTTGTTCTTAATTGAAGAATAATAACACTTTTATTTTTTATTCTTGCGATTATTTATTAATCGAATTATTCGATAATATTTCACAAAATTTATGTCTATCGATCCTACTTTTTTTATTTTTATTTTTTTTCTCATTTCGAAAAATTTTTTCACACTTGTACAATCGAATATTTGTTCTCTCTCTATTTGAAATTTTTTTTCTAGAAATTTAAAAAGAAAAAAAATGCACGCAATATACATTTCTTATAAATCTTGTTCAATAATTATGCAATTCTTTCTATAACTAATTCTTTCGTGCGCGAAGAAAGACATCGATAAAATATTATAAATATTTGTCGCAAATATTTACTCCTTCATTCGTAAAAATGATTTTGTGACGGAAATTCATATTATATTACATATATAATCCAACCGTTTCGAACCTTGAACACACGATTTTTGTAAATATTACGTAAAATGCTTCACCGTTTTAATGCATATTTATATAAACGTTTTTATTTCTCCTTTGCGCGGGCGCGTCTCTTCAAATTTGCTATTTAAATG